CAAGGTACGAGGTCTGTCGAGATGAGCTGGATTAAGCCGTTGATCATGTGTTCTTGCAAACACATCACACTTGGGTAGGTGCCGGAAGCTGTAGGATGAAAGAGACACGCTTCAAAGAACGAGATTAGGAACGTTCGACCGAATTGTATGAACACCAGAGATGCTGTAAGCTGCCGGCTTAACGAGGACTCCATCGTCTACAGACCCGTCGTTACACATCCGGTTGAATCCCCATAGGGAATCGCGAGCTGCTGGATTAAGACACTCAGTTGGCACCACACGCAGTGATGCCTAGGCGGTCACCTCAAATGGCTGGTTTGAAAGTAAACTGAAGGGAATGATGACCCGAGAACGATCGATATGTGGGTATCGGGGGCCAACACTACGAAAAGAGTAATTGTTGCGCCAGTCTATTCCAAGCACCTGCCTGTTCAACATCACTGTACGAGCTCAGCCTGCGAGCAAGTGGATACGAAACGAGCTGTACTCTCTAAACTCTCCACGATGTCTTACGCTCTACTCCACATCGCGATCCACAATCTCCACCTACGCCCCGTCCCACCTGGACCCTGAACAAGCAATCAACATCAAAGGCTCGAATTGTATACGAGACTCTCAGCCTTTCCATGACGATCTCGATCTCAGTACCGCAAAGATCCTCGCTGCGACCATGACGCCCCATCCCATCTCGCCTTACCATTGCACACACGGTCCGAATCCAAGACACCAGGCAAACCACTTCCCTTGCCGCCGGTGACGAAGAAGTAAGACACAGAGGATACGAATAGCATCATCGTGCAGTATCGATGGGGAGTACGGGATGCCTGAACAACAGAGAGAAGGATATATAAGGAGGTAGCATGCACCGAGTAGAGGACCATCATCACACACCAACAAGTTCTTCAATCATCATACATACACAACAAACCTTCAATTTCAACGTTCAACGAACAACACTTCAACCTCAATCAACATGTACTTCTCCAAGATCGCCATTCTCGCTGCTGCCACCATGGCTAGCACTGTCGTTGCGGACAACTGTTTCGCTGGGTATGCGTACTGCGAGGGTAACCTTTTGACTCAGGGTTCGTCTTCCCTTCTCCCCTACTCCACATCTCTACATCCCCCTTCCCCCCTTCCACCATACCTCATCTCCCTCCCTACTCCTCCTTCTTTCCCATCCCCACCCCCTACCCATAACCCCTCTGCACTCCCCATCCTCCAATCCCCACCTAACACAACCCAGGCGACTACGCCTCGACCATCTACCAAGTCCTCGACGCAGCGGGCCAACCCACCGACGCCAACGCGCGCGCCAAAGCCCTGTTCAACTGCGTCAACGGCGGGGCTATCCAGTTCATCACGCTTTGTGGCGGAGACTGCAAGAACGAGCCGTTTGGTAGCCAGGTTAGTGATCACTGCTAGATCACTTCTTGGTCGGAACAAGTCGTCAAGAATGCTGGGGGTGGAAGCGGATAGAGGATGGGGAGACGGGAAGACGGGAAGGAAAGGAAGAGAGAGAGAGAGAGAGAGAGGTGAGCAGAGTGGAGAAGGTGGAAGGGATTGACTAGAATAGAATCATACACTCGTTTCTCCATATCTGTGCAACAACCATCATATCAGTCGTCTTGCGTATGTATATTCATCGAGGTATGCAGCTTCAACTTTTGTCGTACATGAAACGAGTCGTCCGCACCATTAACCTCCATTCATCCTGCCCACAAAATGTAAACACAAATAAAGTCTACGTAAAGCATAAGAGCATAGCTTCAAAGAGCTGAACAGCATAAAAACCACCAGCGCCAAAACAGTAAACAGACGTCCACCCAATACCCTTTTTCGCTAACCCATCTGAACGCCACAGCGCTCATCATACATCTCATACACACAACCTATCCACTGAGCAGGTCCTTAACACTCATACCCCTAGCCCCACTCCAGCTACGACGGTCGGTGTTCAACATCATCAGCGCCTCTGTAGCTTCCTGGTCCTCACGATCAGCCTGAGGTTTCAACGCCGGTGACGTCAACGCGAAATGGACAGAGCCATGCGACGAGCCAGGCGCAGCTACCGGTCCCGTACTAGGAGGTCCGTTATGGAAAGGGTTGCTGAAGTGTGTGGCAGAAGGTGTGTGAGCGCTGAAAGCAGGCGAAGGGTGGATCGAAGGCGAAGTTACTGTGGAGCGGACTGAAGCTGGCCCGAGCGAGTAGTGGTGTGGGTCGGACGGGCGCAACGCGGGGGAGGGGTTCGCCGAGTAGTGGCCGTTGCGATGATCGTGGGGCATGATGGCTGGGGATGTGGTGGTGGAGTGTGTGTATACGCTTCGGTCGGAGGGGTAGATGGCGGGTGAGGCTTGGGCGAAGGTGTATTTGGATTGGGCGGGTGGTGGCTCGACGTAGGTGGGTGATACGGCGTCTTCCATTTCTTCGTCTTGCTCTTCGTCTTCGTCGTCCTCGTCGTGCATGCGTCGGACTGGTGGTGGCGGGAGCTCGGATGTAGCTGAGGATGGGGAGTCGCGGCGGGAGTTGGCGGTCTTGAGGTCGGAGACGCACTGCTCGAGGTATCGCATGTACTCGATTGATGCCTGGGTGTGTTAGTATATGAGTGGGATATTGGTGAGTGTCGGGAAGTACCTGTAGAATGGCCAGCTTGTGCATCTCTTGTCCCCTACACGCCGGAATCATGTCCTTGAGTACCCCAAACTCCTCGTTCATCTTGGACCTTCTCCTCCGTTCGATCAGACTGTGTGCCGTCTTCCTTGCAATCTTACGTCCCGCAGCAGTGGCGTTACCCGCCTGCTTCCTTTTGGTCCCATTAGTGGCAGCGGTCGTGGTCTTCGCATCCTGTGCTTTGGACGAGGTCTTGGGCGTTTCTTGGGTATCCTTTGGCTTCATCTGAATGATCTTGCGGGATCGGGTAGGCGGCGGCGGGAGAGAATAGTCGTCCTTGGTGATGATGCTCTGCTGGGAGCGTTTGCGCGCATGACCGGGCTTGGAAGTCGCGACTGGGGACGACGGGGAAGGTGGCCGGTAGGACGAGTCTGAGGCATTTTCGGATTTACCAGAGGAGCTAGCTACACTTCCTCTACCACCCAGCGCTGCAGGTGGCAAGTTGAAGCTCGTCTCCAATTGAGGGGCATTGGCGCTGCTCTTGCCGGTGATGTCTGTCGACGGCTGGGGAGTCGGAGGGAGGTTTGGGCGAGGCATGATGGGAGTAAAGGCGCTCATAGAACGTCTTCAGCCTGTGTCCCGCGCGTAGAATAAGTCAGAGGGCGACAAAGAGGGGATAAAGGGACGGCAGAGACAATGTATGGCGTGCATTATCAGCATTGGGGTGTCGCGTGGGCTCTTTTGTGTCGCAGCGCTGGGAGAAGGATCCCGTGGGTGTCCTGCGCTCCCATGATTGGCTGGCCGGCCAAGATACCTCAGGAAATGGCGCCAGTCCATCGCGCCTCCTATGAGAACGTCACCCTGGGAGCGTGGGCGTCGCGGCCGCTGTAGGCCTCTGCGAAGCTGCAGCTTCTTGAACGAGTGGGCCGCCCATCGCGTTGGGAGTAACCGTGGCGAACGCTGTTGAGGTCCAAATGGAGCACGTGCTCGTCTTTCTTCCCCTCCGCCGGGCGTCGATATAGCAGTCGAGGGGTTTACCCGCAGGCGCAGAGCGAAAAGGGCCGAAGCAAGGCTATGAATCGCGTTAGGCGGCTGGCATATTGATAGAGCAGTAGATCGTGGGTATTTGCATGTTGTGGCATGTGTGCATGTGAAGACGGCAATAAGCTATCGAACCCTTATTCTGCAGTCGCGATGATGCCCCACCATTATGAGAACATGGTATAGCTCGTCTTCGTTGAGACGCTGCAGCACACTTGCTAGGTACAAAGGCCTAGCGGATGGGCTGCCCAGTTCACCCTTGAGGTTCTGCAATCGACAGCTGTCCAAGACTTCCCTGTTCCGGATCGTGTTCACGTTCTACAGGCAGGGTTTAGTGAAAAGTAAAAAGATGCGGGAGAGTGAACTGAAAACCACCGTAATCGACGGGTTTGCCAGTTGCTTCTTCGGGCTATCGTCTGTACATATTCGAGACGGTAGAGGCTTATATCTCTTCACTACATGTATCAGGTGTCTTCCGTTATTAGGGCGGATTCAGTTTGACGGCATCTGTGAGCTGCAACTCAACTTGAACTCGTTGACTGTGATAAACCCTACCGTCTTCGGTGGCTTCCAGAACTTGCCTATCTGGGGAGGCGCGCTTGGCGTCCAATAGGGGCAAGCGCAATCTTCCGACCCCACCAGTCAGCCGCCCATCTCGATGCAGTCCACGCGACACCAGGTCACCATCCTCCATCTAAGCCATGACTGCTGCGTAACTTTCCTGCGCATCCATTTCCGCACGAGACCGATTGGCGGTGTTACTTCGACGGTGTCGCCCAGTATCGATCATCTGCTGTTCACGATGCGCGAACGTCTCCGTCCGGACTACCTAGGTACCTTGACCTAGCTGCTAAGTTCATCGTAGGTCAAACCAGCTACGTCGTCGCATCTGTGCATCGTACTCAAGTCTGCATCCCTCTGTTCTTCTTAGTTTGTCATGGAAGCACCGTACCTGAAGGGGTCTGTATCCTGTTGGCTGCCTCCATACTGGATTCAAAAGGCACGCGCCGTGGTTCGCATAGCTACACAAGCGTCATCCCTGGCGAGTACCTTTAGAGGATACCTTATGTCAGGTACAAACTAAAATGGTAAGAGATATGGAGTTGCACAGGCAGCTGCGACCCTTAGCCTGCCTTGAGTGAGACTTCTTGCCGGCATGCGCCTCAACCGCACCGCGTGACCTCGCACTGTAAGGTACACACGACACATACCCACGGAGATCCCAGCACGAGCTACAGTCACATCGCCAGTTCAGATGTTCGGCACTATTCGTCATCCAAACAGATCGCTTATTCCTATCGTAATTACCCACGTCGCATCCGATCCAACAAACTCCACATTCTCTCATTATGGCATATCCTTTTCGGCCCGCGTCACCTGCCGAGGACCTGCCCCCATACTACCAAGACACAGGCAACGACGATATTCGGCAATGCTTCCGTAACTTCGATTTGGACCGGAACTTCGACCTCTTCGATAGGCAAACAAGAGAGCACAGGTGCCGCAATTTCTGTATCGACTTTGGAGAAGATGAAGGTGATGCCTTTTGCGCTTTCGATCTCAACGCCGAAGCGTACAAGAAGTTGCTGCAATCGCCACGACCGACTGAACTACATACGCGATGGATCAACATCTGGAATCCCTCCAACCAGAAAGAGCTGATCAGAACGCTAGCCTCTCACTTCGACTTCACGCCTAGACTGCTGGGCATGATGACGAGCGATCACGTTCCGCCACGTAATAACCCATCCTTGCGCATGAAGAAGAGTTCTTCGACCCTAAGATCGGTGTTCTCCCACAAATCATACACATCGAACATGTCCAATTCGATCAGGGAAAAGGCGAAGCAAGCGAATGAACAAGCGTTGGATTCAGAATCCAGTATCGGTCTCACCGAATTGATGCAATCTACACAGCTGGAGCTGGTCCGAGATTTGGATCACTACCAGCTAGTAGACGATGTATGGCATTGGAGTACCGTCGATCAGGGTCGGAGATGTAAGTTACCCTTTGCTTGACAAGAGACATAGGCCCTAGATGAAAAACCTCTGCTGACAGTAAAACAGATATGGGCATAGGCTACAACTCGCTACACAACGTCCGCAGCAAAGAAACGAACACTCGCCCTATAATCTCGGATAGAACCCGAGACGTGCCCCACGGCAAACGCGTATGGAACTGGCTTCTCTTATGCGAGGATAAAACAGTCATCTCGATCTCCGAAGACCCCTTCCCGTTCTCCAACGGTCCTTTGACCCACGAAGACGTGAAAGTACTCTTCACAACACGTCGGAATACTGTGAACGTCTTCAGACAACTCACGAAAGCGCCGACGCCACTTAGAGAAGCAGCGCTCACTCAACTACCCATCCGCCAACGTCTCGGCAGCAGCGATGAGGAAACTGCCCATCGCCCCACGGATGCTCCCGGCTTGCTCTTCTACTACCTCTTCGAAGACTGGGGCGCAACCTTCGATCTCATCTCCCGCCGCGAACACGGCTACGCCGCCGAGCTTGACAGACTCCGACAAGAAATGCTCCAGACAGCCAATCTCACCCACGTCGACCAACTCCACCACATCGGCTGCCAACTCGCCGTCCTAAAACGCGTCTACCAAAGCTACGAATTAATCATCGAGCGCGTCCTGAAGAAACAAGAAGCCACCCTTGCGTCACTTAAGAACTCGCACATCCTCTCCGGCAACGCCTCCCTCATCTCCTCTCACCCCGTAATAAACGACTCTCCCGGCCCCCTCGTCCCCGAAGCCGACAGCCTCCTCGGCGTAGCCCTCAGCTCCGCCGCGCGTGTCCGCTTCGAACGCCTCAAAGACCGCATCCAGCTGTACGCCCTCTCCGAAATATCCGAATGCCTCGACCAAAAAGAGTCCCTCGTAATGATGAACTTCAACCTCATCGCCATCAAAGAATCCTTTTCAGTTGAACGCCTCACCTGGGTTACTTTGCTGCTTGCTAAGATTACTATCTTGTTCACGCCTGTGACGCTGATGACAGGGTATTTTAGCATTCAGTTCAAGGGGCTGGAGTTTGAAGTCGGCAGTTATTGGCGGGCGTTTGGGTGGACGTTTGGGTTGAGTGCGGCGTTGCTTGTGTTGTTTAGTTGGGTTAGTGGGACGTTTGAGGGGAAGATTATTACGAGGAGTTGGACGAGGGCGGTTTATGATGTTGCGCATAGGTGGGTTGTTGGGAGGAGGAAGAGGGGGAAGATGCTGTAGAGGAGGGTGGGGGAGGGTGGTGGATGGTGAGTGGTGGATCTATGGGCTGTTAGATCCATAGGATGGAAGGAAACCGAGTTCCACTTTAGAGGCGATTGCTGTTGCTCTTCGTGACCTATCTCAGGGTACAACAAACTGACCAGTCACGAGGTGTCTTCCCGACCATATATAAGAAGCGATCTGCGAGACACTTCTGCACCACACTGCACCGCAACCATGACCTCAACTCAACCCGGAAATATCGTTTTGGAGAACGAATTGAAGAAGAAAGTCCTCTCTCACGCACGCGCTGTGTTCATCGACCAAGTCCGCCCCGGCACTGTATTCGAAGTCGTGACCACTAAGATCGATCTCATTAACGAGGGTCAAAGATACAAAGGCTTTGTCTTACATGTCATCGCGCTGGATGAGTTGTCGCAATCACAGAAATGGCAAGTCGTTATGCGTGCTGACAGGAAGTCTACTGAGAAGGAAAGCTTGGAGGAACTTATGAGGAAACTGCAAACGAGGCTTTCGGATATGATAAGTAAGTTACACTGCGGCATTTGAAGGGCCTCGTGCTGACGTAGCGTGAATCATGTAGAGTCTAGGCAGCCTGGTTCGGGGGAGTGAGGTGTAGGACATGCGCTCGCTGTACTGTGTATCGTGCTCTCGAACGGCTACGTAGGTGAACAAGGATGATTGTTTTTCCCACGACCCTCTCTTTGAGGTGTTGCGAGACACTAATCGTACATGCTAGAAACGTATATTAATCATCATGGACCGCTTGCTACCTGGCTAAACAAGCACTATTTGCGAACAGTAGCGAATATATCTCGTGCGTTATTCTCCGGGAACGCTTCATAACATAGCTTCAACCGCTTTACTCGCCCGTCTCGACACTCCCTCACACATACAACCGTCCCTCCACTGAAACATCTCAGCATGTCCATGTCCAAGTACGACACCATCTTGTGGGAGAGAGAACTGAAGAATCAAATCAAATGTACGTACTCCCAGCTCCCAACCCCCAGTCATCCCATACCTTACAAGTCAATGAATGCCGCTAACGGCATTCTACCACAAAGCTCACGCCCGCGCCTTCTTGACCGGCTACCCCTACGGCTCAGAATATGATGTTATCCACACATATTCTAGAGAGGAAAAAGACAAGGAAAAGCCCTACAGCATTCACCTGATCGTGTACGAGCGGCCGAACAAAAGCAACGAGTGGGAACGAGCTTGTTCTGTCGACGGCAACGTTGATGTTGCGGAGGGATTGAGTCGTCTTTTGGAGTCGCTGAGAGTGGGACTAAAACGGACGATTGATAAGCCGCATGGTAAGCCAGGGACTTCGGGCAAGAATGATGACGTTGAGAACGTGGCGAAGGGCAGCCGGAGGAAAGATTTAGATTCTTATCGCCCAGGGGAGAAGAGACGTCATAGTCGTAGTCGTGGCCGTAGTCGTAGTCGCGCTCGCAGTCGTGCTCGTGGTGGTAGTCGTAGTCATGGTCGTGGTCGTAGCCGCAGTCCTGATCGTAGTCGTAGTCGCTGATGGATGTCCATTTGCGAGCCGTGCAATGGATATTTTTTCTGAAATGACCACGGCTTGATGAAGACATTGGCTCTGGACTTTCGAGCGTTTGTTACTGCCAAGTGTGGACTAGCTGAGTACACGGGCGCGGAGGTGAAGGTTAATCCGAAGTCGCGCTTTGCACAATGTTCAGATCAGAGACTTCTCGCGTAACCTCCTTTTTACTCTTCTACTACAACTCATACGGTTGATTATCAGCGATGACCCAGTCTGCGACTATTGCCATTGCTCAGTCTGCGTCTACTGAGGTGAGAGCCATGAACAAGTATGAGACCATCATATGGGAGAAGGAGATGAAGGAACAGATATTGTGTAAGCATAATCCATGTATTTGATCTGATGATATCGAACACTAATTCATGGTCGTCGCACAGGTCACGCCCACGCACTCTGCGCCGAAGGTTACCCTCATGGTTTGGTCTTCAAGGTCATCCAAGCCAATACTATGAGAGAGGACATCACTCTTTTCGACACTCATCTTGTCGTCTACAAGTGCCCTTCTAGGGTGGAAAAGTGGGAGTTAGTTCACTCGATCGATGAGATGGCGACTGTCGAGGAAGGCTTGGACGCTCTCTTGGAAAAGCTTAGAATCCGCCTGACTCTCAAGATCCGTAAGCGCCGCACCCAAAAAACTCAAGTGTAAATGCTGACTGGTTGTCTTTAATCTAGGTCGTGACAAAGGTAGGGAAAGGATTTCACCGGGTCTCCAACACTTGCTACCACCAGCTCGGAAGTGGTGATGCGCCTCTACACAGATATTTACGTATCTGAACCTACAGCGTGGACTTCGAACCAGACATTTTCAGATCGGAAGGGTTGGCGAAGAAGATAGAGATGGGATTTTGGTCGCTATACAAACAACAGGCATAACCCGAGAGTTTCAGTCTCTTTTGACCTGCTAGATAGTAATGTAGCCATCGACGAAAGCCCGCCAGTTTATGACTCGTCTAGAAAACGATCACCTAAAGTCTTTTTCCAAAGTGCCTGAAATTTGCACTGTGGGCTCTTCATGTCTCCGAGGCCACAAGCGAGGAGGTGAAGGTGAGTTGCACTCTCCGCACCCCAAAAAGAAATTTCCAACGCGACAACTACAATCCTTCTACTTCCCCCTTCCCGACAAATAACAACCACACGTCACCCTGAACTCGGTAGCCATCGCCACTATGGCTATGTCCAAATACGAGACCATCATCTGGGAAGAGAAGATGAAAGAGCAGATCGTGTGTAAGCATCCTCTATCAAGCTACTTCTGTCGCTAGATACTAACGACACTTCTTGCTATAGCTCTTGCCCGCGCAACGTACAAAGATAGCTTCTCTAATGGTTCAGTCTTCGACGTCATCTACAGCACTAGAAAGTTTACCATCGGCGGCTTCGGTACCTCCACCCCGGACGGTGTCGACACCCACCTCATCGTTTACAAGTCACCACCCTCTGTGAGAGGTGACATGGAGATTCTCATTACTATAGAGAGTGCATCTACTGCCCGGGGTCTCGAAGTTCTTAAGCAGCAGATGCAAGATCAGCTGGGTCGTAGTCTCGGTAAGTCGCGCAGCTACTATACACACACTTCCAAGGTTACGTGCTAATCAACTGTTATTGATACAGAGCTGGCCAAAGATCTCCTAGCAGTATCTGGAGATAAACCAGTGTACTACGACGTTATAGGTGGTGAAGTCAAAAACGCTGAAGTCGCAGTCGAAGACGCGCGACGCTGGAGGATTAGGGACGCCTTGGGTGATCTCTGGATGAAGTTCCATGCCAGGTAGGAGCTCTGAAAAGAGCATTGGCCGGTTGGAAGGGCATAGCCGGGAAGATACAACGCGTATTTCCCACGGTCTACATGCAGAAAAGTGGAAATGTATACGCCACCACCTGGATAGTTAGCAATGTCACTCATCGTCCAAAACATTCCATCGCGCAGACCACTTCACTTCTCATACTCTTGTTCGTAACATGCTGAGCCACAAGTCAGTGTCTGCCTGGAGAAAGGTTGAAAATTTGCTCAGTGGTTGTTTGCTGTCTCCTTATCGGGCTAGCTCAAAACAAGAGCGGTAGGTGGGAGTGCGTCGTGCTTTGCAATTGACAATATACTTCTCGCGCGACAACAGGCTCCAGCTTTTCTCTCTCCCACCTCCACTTTCGAAACTCTACCGCAGCACCATGTTCGCACCAAAGAAAGAGATGTTTCTCCCCGTAGGCACGAAGCACGAGAACATCATGTGGGAAAAGGAGATGAAGGAAAGGATCATGTGTACGTACGGTTGCAGCTGTTGACATATCTTGAGTCAGTCACTAACTTGCTCAGCTCACGCCCGTATCGTCTACGCCGACAAGCTTTCGCCATCTTCACACTTCGATATCATCACCGCGCTGGACAAGAGTGGCGGTACCTCTCGCTACAGAGCTCATCTCCTCGTAATCAATGCGCCGATCGGCACCGACTACAAAGTCGTCTTCTCGGCTCATGCGAGGAATTCTGTTGGAGATGGCTTGGAGTCTATGTTGGAGATCTTGCAGCAGAAGGTGGCCCCTCTCTTGAGTAAGTCTTTGATCCACATTTCACAAGACTGGCTCATTGTACAATGCTAATGCTGTATGTTTGTGCATAGAGGAACAGATACTTGCAGCTGATAAACAGGGGTTCGATGCTCTGTCTGACAACACCGGTAAAGACAGCCGGGAGTTGATGAGGGACGTCTTCCGCAGGATGCCAGGCTCGCCTGAAGCAAAGCGAGCGGCTTTAGCTAACCCTTGAAGATCTGCTTCTTCTTCAAAATTATCTTGTAAATAGCTGGAACTCTTCCAAGTTATTCGCTAGAAGAAACTTGCTAGAGGGGATACGAAGGATGATCATGCCTACATCTTTCGTACCACACATGGACTAGACATAACACTGCTTGGGCTACCTGGTAGCTATCAAAGCCTTACAAATGGATGAATGATATTCAATGACTTCAATATCGCCCGTGTGCTGACTGTACGTCATTGTCCGGTCATTCGACTCTTCTCTTCGCCCAGAACACGCAGAGTGACGACGAGCCACTCAAAACTCCCGCAACTCATCACCATTCTTTACCAAAAGGTACTCTTTAATTGAGAGAGACCGCAATCATCACACTCTTCGCCCATTCTAACGTCCGCAGCCTGAGCACCTCAGTTCACGTCTCGCCTTCTAATCTCACCAACTACAGCAGATCATCCTCATCAACCCTCTCCCCCCTCCTCCCCGCAAGCCAAACCCTCCCACTCTCATACGCCCCTAGATACAACCCCGCCCCGATAAACGTCCAAACACCCCTCAACGCACCCCCTCTCCACAGCCCCTTAAACCCCTTCTCCTCTACAATCTCTTTGCCCACAGCCCAACTACTCTTCCTTCCTTTCGACTGCGAGGGCGAAGACTTCATCGGGTTAAGCGAATCCGCCGCGTCCTTCGCCGCATTCTTCATCGTGTCTTTAGGGGAAGACGCGGATTTACCTAGGGCATCGACCAACCCGTTCCCCCCATTCACCTTGCCTCCCCCACTCCCCTTCCCTCCACCACCCCCAGCATCCCCCGCCCCCGGTCCTTCAGCAGCAGCGAGCATAACCCTCGTCTTAACAACATCAACCGGCGTCGTAATCACCGCACTAACCGCCCCCGCACTCCCCGCGCTCAGCGCCGTGATCCAGCCCATTTCAAATATCCCGCCTCTCGTTAGTCCCTTTTCATCTCTGTACTTCTTAATCCCTTCTTTGAGCCGCTCGAACATAGGGAACTGCATCGCTGTGAAGGGCAGGTTGCGGCCGGCGAGGGCGGTGTAGCCGCGCCAGAGGGCGAGGGGGTTGGATCGGAATTTGGCTGGATGGGGAGGGGTGGATGTTAGTTTGGAGTGTGGGGGATGGGTGTGGTGGGTAGGGGACAGGGGATAGTGGATAAGGAGTAGGGGACAGAGGGACTCACCCAGGGTTTGTAACGTAGCATTCTGCGATTGAGAAGTAGAAGAGACCATCTGCGCGTTTTGCTTTATAACTTCTGCGGGGGTGAGGATGGCGCATGAAACTAGTTCTGCGAGGGAGGAGGCGGAGGCGTGGACGAAGGCTATGGGGAGGATGGCTTCGTTTCTGGTATTCGTATTCAGACGTGTAAATAGCGACTTGGTGTGTTCGTAGGTTGTGAAGAATGCTCCTGCTGATGGGGTGGTTAGTAGGTATACGTTTCCCCTAATATCTAACTCTCCTCTTGTTTCGCAGATGCCTTCTTTCGCAGACATCTTCTTTCCGTCCGAACGACACATAACCTCCCAACTCTTTGCTCATCAAACCTCTCCCTAACATCCCTGACATCCATGACATCCTCCCTTCCCTTCTCTTCTTTCCCTCATCCCAACAATCTTCCTTACTCATTCCTCCCATCCCTACTCTTTCCCTTTCCCTCTTCCTCCAAACCCCCATATAGAAATCCTTCACTTACAGCTCGGCAACGTAGCAACAATCACACTCCCAATCCCCTGATACACACCCCGGAACAACTTTGGATCCACTTTCCCCGTCCGCGTATCCGTGTAGAGTTTAGCATATTCCGGGCTTTGGATGCGCGTTTTTATTGTGTCGAGCGGGTAGACGAGGAGGTCTACTGTGAAGGCTGCTATTGCGCCCGCCTTTTGTTGTGGTGGTGTTAGTCAATTCCTCTCGTGTACGTCCTTGATTTGTGGGACATGGGGTGATGTGGTTGTTTGGATCCCATCTCTTTCCCATGCTCCATTCATCGCTTTAGATGAGACGCGATGTCCGTCGCATGTACGTGGATTCCCAGCTGCCAACGTCCACGCATACAACAATCTCGTAAAGAAATATGAGAAAACTCACAATCAAAATGTCAGAACTGGTATTTCCTGCCATTGCAAAGAGAAAAAGAACACGTCAAGCTGCAGAGATATGTGAAGATCAGTCGTTGCGTCCAGGATTATTTTGAGCCTCGTAATCGATCTTCAGGTACATACAGGGTCCGATAAAACCACATGCATGACGTCACCGATGATCCGCCGACACGACTTTGCTACTAACGGCATACACGACTTCACGTGCACCAAAACAACGAGAAGAATTCATGTTCATGATAGTTGATGTATGTAATGTATCGTGATTGTTGTTGTGTACTATTTTCTTTATCCCATCTCACAATTTCCATCCTCACCATGCAGTAGCAGCTCCTGCCGCGACAGTCCTTCCGCCAGCAGCACCCACGATATCAAAGAAAGAAGGGGTATATAAACCTAATCCCACCCAGGATCTCATCCGTCGTACAAGATCCCAACCCCTTTCCCCCATTCCCTAAACGCCATGTAAAAACACTTTTCATAAAGACATATCCATCCCATCATAGATCGAACCTGCGATCATTTCCATTTCCATTTCCATCATAAAAACGCAAAGAAAAAAGAAGGGGATACTACCACCACAAACACTAGAGCTTCGTATCCTGCCTATTGGAGTCACTCAACCTACGGAAGGGCCCTTGCATGGTAGCACTAGGACCAGGCCTAGCACTACCCGCACGTGTAGCGTTACTCCCGGCGCTCGCACTTGCGCCTGCGCCTGCGGTACCTGGTGTTCTGGAAGTGGCGGTAGCGTTGGAGCGCTGTTGGAGTGTCGCACTGACTACCCATTGCAGGTGCATGCGCATGTTGCTGATTGCGGCGTTGACGTGCAGCATTTCGTCTTTGGAGCGCTGGCTCTCGTTGATGATCATCATGTTGGTGCGGCCGTCGAGGTCGGTGAGTGCATTGGAGATGCGGGATACTTCTTCGCGGAGGGAGTCGTGTAGCGTGAGGAGGTGGTGGACTTGGGAGTCGAAAGGAGGTTGAGCGGAGTTGTTATTGTCGTTTCCGCCTGGTGGGACGGGTGGAAATGAAGCGGGTGGGAGGCGGAAGTCTGGCGTGGGTGCTTGGGGGTCGGTGTCGTTGGGGTCCAGGGGGTCGGTAACAGGGAAGGAGGCGTCGTTTCCGTTGGCGGGATACAGGTAGTTTGTGATGTTGGTGAGACCGTCTTCGAGGATGCCGACTTTCCTAGTCAGGGGCTCCATTCGCGCCTCGTTCCTCTCGATGCGGGCCTGCTGTTCGCGGAAGTGGGGCGCCATGGTTGCCATTGCGCAGGTTGGTTCGTGGAGTACAACGTCGGCACGCTCGGCTTGGAACTTGCATCCGACGATGGTGCCCTGGCATGATATGACATGTTTCGGGCAGTCGTTGTTGATGTGAGGCTTGAGGTCTAGCCGCAGTATCTCAGCCGAACAGAGCGTGCAGGTAGTCAAGCGGTTAGCACAGAGGCTGCGCTGGTGCTCCTCGAGGTCCTTCTTGAGAAGCGAAGCGTGGCAGTCCTCGCAGCTGACGGTGTAATGCAAGCAGCCCTTGTGGAAGTCTTTCTGCGATATCTGCAAGCGACAGTCCGCGGCAGAGCATTCGACAGGCGTGTACTCGCAGTACAGCATGACGTGGTCGTTGACATTAACGCGTTGGGCGACCCAGTTGCAGCCTGCCTTGGTGTTCGGGCACTTGACGACAAGCTCATCCAGCATCGTCTCGATAATCTTAGGCACCGGGCGAATGTCACTGTCGCTTTCAACAGCATGCCGGCACGTGGGACATGTCCTCTTATGCTGTGGTGCCCATGCGTGATCGAGACACTCGCGGCAGAAGTAGTGGTCGCAGGAGAGCTGGACAGGCTTATCGAAGGGGGCGTGGCAGATGAGGCAGGTGAGGTTGCTGTCGGGCGTGGAGACGTATTCGAGGTTGGCGAACTCGGGGGGTACTTTGACGATTCGGCTGTGACGGCGCTTCGTTGAGGGTGAGTTTGAGACGCGGACGGCCAAGGGCGAGGGGCTGCTGGGAGGACCGCCGACGGGCATTCCGCCATGCTGCTCCTCGGCCCAGCCAGTCCAGTTGGCGTTGCTGGACGAGCGCGACGAGCGTGAAGACCGGCGGTCGTTCGGGGGTGGGATGGGGCTTGGCGACGACATGCTGGGGGACTTGGTGTGGAGGGTTGGCGGGAGTTGGCGACGGATAGACGCTTATGTGAGAGAGTCGCGTTCACTCGCGTCGGGGCAGGTGCAGTCGGCGGTGAGATGCGCTGTCTCGGGTCTCCTCTTAAGTGTCGATCGAGGTGGCTGTGGGGGGTTTGTTTGTCAGATGGCCGCTCTGCCAGTCATCCACGGGCTGCAGAGCGCCAGAAGCAAAGACTATGTCGGGCGGTCAGGATGGCACATTCTCCCGAAGCAGAAGGGAGCATGCCGTGGCTTGGTGGTTGCGCGACAGAGCGACATGGTGCAGCCCTGGCCGCTCCCCACCAATGATGCCCCAGCCGCCCAGCCACGGCATAGTGGGCCTGTCGTCAGCGGTCCGCTCCTGGAGTGCAGCAGCCTTGCCATCTCCACTCGCGCTTCAGCTGCAACGTCGTGTGTCTGTTTCACATCCATGGATTGCTGTACATAGTCGCATCCACTCGTAATCATCAGAACCATTCGCGCTTTCCCTCGCATCGTTCGCGCGTACCATCTCCGGCGCATTGGGACCCCCGTACCACTCACTACACCACCGCCTGCAACCAACCTTCACCCACCACAGCCACCATGTCCACCAACCCCCCACAGCTCTTCCTCCTCGCCGACCACATCAAGCTCTCCCTACTCGAGCGCCAACGCGCCCTCTCCCTCAACCTCCCCTCCAACAGCCAAGATGGCCAGATCTCGCGCTCGCTGGAGCAATTGCGCTCCGGCATCGAGTCGCTGGAGTCGCAAGTCCAAGACACGTCGGACGAGTGAGCCCACCCGACATCTCTCTATACAGGAATATTATTTACTAATGTATCGTTAGATCAATAACATCACAACTCCCCCGCCTACGCACCCAACTCGCAGAACTTACCGCCCAATTCACACCCACCACCAAATCCACCCCAACACCAACATCACCAACCCTAACCTCCCCCAACAACCCCTCCCTAACCTCCGACTTCGCCGCCGCCCAATCCAAAAAACCCGCTCCCACGCGCCAAACCTCAAAGTCCGTCCGCTTCTCAGACAACACCTCCGATGAATCCGACGACCCCAATCGCTCCTCCCTATTCCCCTACCGCGACGACCCCTCAGATTCCCCCCCGGACCAATCCACCCTCGACAACACGCAAATCCACCAATACCACTCGCGCGTAATCGCAGACCAAGACAGCCAACTCGACAGCCTGGGCGCGTCCATCGGGCGGCAGCGCGAACTCTCCATGCAGATAGGGGATGAGCTAGACGGGCAGGTCATGTTGCTGGATGATGTGGAGGAAGGGGTGGATCGGCATGCGGCGCAGTTTGTGAGAGCGAGGGGACGGCTGGATCGGTTTAGTAGAAAGGCACGGGAGAATTGGAGTTTGACTGTTATTGTGGTTTTGATAATTATTTTGGTGTTGTTGATTGTTATTACGAAATGAGGGGGTGGGGGAGGGCGTTATGTTTGGGTTAGATGGACGGCGTTTTTTGGGGGGTGAGACGGAGGGAGGGATTATATGTTATTTTGTTGAGATGGTATACTCAGAGATATATAGGCTGCTAACACTACGCTGCACTAAGAATGAGACATCTTACTTTTGATCATTGATACTACAGCTACCACTACCGCTACAGCATACATATACTCCCACCAACACATAACCCCTACTTCAGCAGCTATGTCATCCCCAAACCGAGACCAAGCTGCGTCCACCGCAACCACCCACGCCCAAACGCCGCGCCATGATGCAAAAGAAGAAAAGATAGAAAAAGGCTAGTAGTGATGCTTATAAAGCTCGAAGGGTATCGCTGTATTTTGATATGCAAAGGGACAAGAACTTTTTCGCAGTCTTGTGGTTTGGTGTGGGAATCTTCTTCCATCCCATGATTTGAGAACATTGTAGTGTTGGCCCTCTTGCCTCACGGCAGGCCGATTGCTTTTTTCGACTTGTCGTAAACGACGTATGTGATTGAGACGGCAGGAACGACCTTGAGCAGGTTCGGCGTGAGACCCTTGAACAACCCTCTTACACCCTCACCCGCAATGGTCTGTCTCGTGACATCCATAATGCCCGTGTACGTCCGCGGATGCAGAACAGTACCTTGACTCTGCAGTCGTGTTCGCAGGAGATTGAGCGGGTAAACAGCACTCGCACCGAACGCGCCGGAGAAACCACCAATAGCTGCTGTCATGAAGCCACCTGGCTCGGCGTCTTGTTCGTGGCATCCGAGTCGCTTCGCGTTGCGGCGGGCGACGTAGCGTTTGAGGTACTCGAATGTACCTAGATCGAGGGCTGCGTAGGGGAAGATGCCGACGATGCCCATGGGTAGACCGCGGTAGTATGCGGGTATGCCACCGGCATTCCACATTTTCTTTGCTGTGGCCCAGATCAGTCGGTTGCCGTGTAAGCCACCAGAGACGGTCTCGCATTGCATGCGACTGGGTTGGATTAGCGCGAGTTGAACGGATATCTTGACTCTACTCACAACTTCAAGGTATCGATGGGGTAGACGGCGAATTGGGAGACCATGCCTGAAGAACGTCAGTGCTAGTCCGATTACATCATCACCAGAACTCACCTGCTAGACCACCAGCGACGAACTTCGACCACGAATGTATTATGGCGGGGTCGTTGTGTCCTTCTATCTTAGCGAAGACGCGTTTCGCAGCCTGCGCGAGTTAGGGGAAGCGGTTGGTTTATTTGACTATACTTGCCTCGTAAGACCCGAATTTGATGGCCGATTCCGGCATCACTTTGACGACGTTCAAGCCGTTTCCTATGGAAAACGTCAACTCCAGTCATCAGAAAGCAGTGACAGATACTCACCAGCGTACAAACTGCGCATACCGCCAGCCTGCCAGAGCTCCTTGGTGGCGGTCGCAAGTGGCCTCCAAGCATTCATGGCAGCTTTGACAATGTTGCCATGCTTAGCGGCGACGACAGCTTCTTCCGCAACATTGGTCTGGGCGATGAGGTAGACTTTCAAACGATCGAGCGGAGCAGTGGAGGTGCGAGAAACAATGCCTGCAACGCCTCCCGCCACGAAATAGCCTGGATTGGGAACACAAGCAATCAGCATGGTTCCTAAGCTCTCTATAAGTCCTGCCCGTATCTCTTCGAGAGGAGCGCTGCTCGTCTCGTGTGCAGACCGTGGCGGGAGGGTACCTTGGTAGGCAAGTGTCGAAGTAGAAGAAGCCATGTCGAGCGGCGCGCTGGGCTCTGGCGGAAGGGGATTGTAGGGCGGTGTGTGCGCTACAATGAAAAGAGAACCAAAGAAAAAACGAAGAAAACGCTGTGTAGTACCTAGGCCTTGGATTGTGTCGTCACTAATGGCAACGTCGCCTTCCTGGTTTACTTTCATGGTGGCGGAAAAGTACGACATTACGGCGCCGAGGGATGGTGCGCTGACCGGAATGAATAGAAGAAAGTCCCTAATCATAGTTAGTAAGATTCACGAAAGTCCTCAATACAACATCCATGCAACACATCTCGAGATCTTGTCGCAGTTTTTGGCCAAACGACAATGGTCTCAGTCTGTTCGCGCTTCCACCGTGTGTGATGCCACTCCAATTCCACCCGTTGTGCAGCCGCAAATCGACTGGGTACATACCGCCATTCTTCAAAACTGATGTGCCCATCATTGTTGGTGTCCACTTCGGAAAAGAACTTGTCGAGATTACTGTTGGGCACTGTGAGGCCGGCCGTTCGCAAAGCTGAGCGCAGCTCGTCCTTGGAGATCTTGCCGTCGTGGTTGTAGTCGATGGTCTGGAACAGGTGCTGAAGCTCCTTTTCGGTTTCGTGTACGAATTTGCGGAATTCTGGATTCGCGTCAGTACACGTGCAATTCGGTCAGAGAGAAGGCACCCACCTTGGTATGTGATCCTTCCATTCCCATCGGTATCTACAGCCTGCATCACCTCGTCCAGGAGCTGGTCCGCATTTTTCAAGGCTACAATGTCGGGTTAGCGGCCTGAAGTTTGCGCGCAACATCCTCTCTTACGATGATCCAGCTTCCGCAGCCCCTTTTTGAGGCCTGCGAGGTCAAGATGGCCCTGTTTGCGCGTGTCGAGAGTTGCCCATAGTTCGTCCACCCTGCCGTCGGCAACGCTTGCGCTCTGTGTGTCCATTGTCGTCCTGCTATCTCCGGTCTATCATGGCTGAGGGTCGCGACACACACGGGAGGGCGACTATCGGCACCGGGCGAGGTGAATTGCGAGAGGAATGGCTGGCTGGGAGGGACACGGGCTCGTATAGGCTTCGACGTGGGGTATGAGGTCAGTCTCAAAGCTTGGAGAGGGCGGCTGAAAGAGGCTAGCTTCCCATGCCGCAACACCGAGGGAAGCCACGACAGGAGCCGTACATTCGCTCGCATCTGATTGGACACCGCGTCTGAACCCCGACACCCCCTTCTACGCTTCACATCGCGCACTCACTTCATATCGATCATCATCCGATAATGCGTTGAGAGATTCGTTTTCTGTCGCCGTGTACCCGGCCTACTGGTTCACCGGCGTCCGTACTATCAAACTATCATCAGCCTGACGAAATCGCGTTCACTGTTGAGAAGACATCCGACAGGGTTATCGCACCACTCGAAGCGCATACGACTCCATCAAACAGTCGCTTGAGCAAATCAGTAATTTCAGCTTCACAGTATAATTTCTTGTATCGCGGTCGCCGTCATGTCGTCTAGTTACTGGGAGTCAACCCAGCGGAAGTTCTGGACTTTCACAAAGCAAGAGCTGGCACTTGAACGAAAGAGAATGGAAGATGCAGAGAGAAACCTGGTCAACCTATATCCTTTGCCAGATCGGCGGCATCTCAGCATTTACTTTTCGCATCGTCAGTAACGTGACCTGGTAATTCGGGTTTATGCTGATATATTTTAGAATTGTCTAAAATGGCAAGACCACTGGGAATTCGACAGCAAGCTTTGGCTACTGCTCAAGTATACGTCCGACGCTTCTACGCCAAGGTAGAAATCCGAAGGACAAATCCAGCGCTCGTTCTGGCAACAGCGTTGTACCTAGCGTGTAAGATGGAGGAATGCCCGCAGCACATCAGAATGGTACTGGCAGAAGCACGGCATTGCTGGGGTAAGTCATCACATCCACATTCACTAAACAATCCTAACAAGTTTCAGACACATCCTTCAACGACGTCTCTAAGATTGGCGAGTGCGAATTCACGCTCATCTCCGAGATGAACTCGCAACTAATTCTCCACCACCCATACCGCAGCCTCGCGGAACTGCAAACCCAGTTCCAGCTGACGCAAGAAGAGAATGCTTTAGCATGGTCCATCATAAACGATCACTATCTCACAGATCTTCCGCTTCTTCACGCACCACATGTCATTGCCATCACGGCGATGTTCTTGGCAGTCGTCCTGAAGCCCATCGGCTCGCAAGTCAATGCAGCCGGGATGAACAACGCTCTCCAGACGCTTGGCAATGCGCGCGGTGGGCAAGGCATGCAGGCGAGAATACAGAAACTCGTCGACTGGCTTGCTGAGAGCAGTGTGGATATCGAGGCTGTTGTTGAGTGCACGCAGGAGCTGATATCATTGTATGAAGTCTGGGAGACGTATACCGATAAGACGTGCAAAGACCAGATTGCGAAGTTTGTCAAGGCAAGGGGTCTGGACAAGTAGATTTTGGCTTGGCTCGAAGGGGTATCTTTGGAGATTGATGAGTGGGGTTTGAGTATTGGCAGCTCGACGGTATTATGAGCACTGTATGGATCCCGTACAGCCAACAAGCTCAACATACGCGAGCAGGTCTATTTTTTCTTTGTAGCTTTCCGTAGGATAAACTTAAGAGGTCCAATTGCCCTAACACTAATGAAGACTTTTGGGTTGCTTGTTCACATAAATTATTCAGCTCTACGTCCAACGTAACAGGTGACGCGTTTAGCTCTTTCTCGAGTACGCAAACATTCGACCGTTGTTGTTTCCGAAGACCTGGTGCCAGACGAAACGGCTTCGCGGACATGCATTGCTTGTCAATCACAGCGGCCATGCGCCACCCGCCGCAGCATAGGGCTTCCCCAGGTATCACTCCGCAGTGCCACCACGAGCTGCGGCCACCCTGTCGGCGAGCTTATCGGGATGGTCAGCACTTTAAGCAGTAAGCAGCCTCACAGTAGGATTTTCCATCGACATCACTTGTGCATCCAATACATGCATCCAATACATGCATCCAATACATGCATCCAATACATGCACTTCGCCTGCTTTCATATAAATTAATACACTCGCGTCGAGTTGCGCATTTCACAGGGTAGAGAGACGATCAAATGAGCGTGTTTCGAGCTGAAGTGGTTCTTCATGCGAGAAAGCTTGGCCCGTCGCAGAAATGTTTGCGAGTGATGGACGTCACGGCACTTCACGATGGTCAGGTCAGGGTCCGATGGAGAGGTCGCGATGCCCGTCATGAAGTACCCATAGCACGACCGTCACGACGACATGACACCAAGATGGAGTGACGACAGCCTGCCTAAGACCGTCGATCACTGGACAGGCCGTCGAGCGTCCGGGCCGGGCAGAACGAAGACATTGCGCTATTTTGGTCTCAGCTAGTGGCGGCGTCCCATTGGCCAGGGCGCGGCATCCCAGCCGTCGGGACGTCACACGAGATGAAGCCCGGGCGTGTTCGGAAACACTGACGGGTGGAAAACGTCTCGCATGGCCGTCGGCGTTTAGACGCTGTTGTCGGAGGCGCAACGGCGTGGACCAGAGGCAGATGTTCGCATGGTGTCGCGCTGGTCAGCAGGTGGTCGTGGTCTCAACAGATTCATGGACAGGCGGGTGCTTGAGCTGGCATTCCAGAACATGGGCAGTGCGTCGTGATGGTAGGGATTGGCAGGCGCCGTCGGCAGGGACTCGGCGGCCACGAGCGAATCCTGGCATGGGCTCAACCACGGTGTCAAGCTGCTGCTGGCCGTCGCAGGCACAGGTGCGTTAGCGTTCAGTCGTCGGCAAGGGCGGCCGCATCGCAAGTGCCAGTCCCGGAGGCTTCTGGAGGGCGGCCTCGAGGGGACAGGCGGTGGTGGCAGTGGCTCGGATGGGCAGGCTGCATTCCCCTGGCGACGGCGGTAGAGGTGCGGAAGAAGCGGTCAGGGCGCAGAAGACGGTGGGTGGTCACTTGCCAGCCAGCTCACAGCCTCGCTGGGCTGGCAGCTCCTAGCGTCATGTGTCGCATAAGGGCTGTTTGACGATGCGCCGCCGCCCGGGATTTACTTTTGCGCGCATCCTCATCTGAGTCTATCTGGAGTCTATCGATTAGGTGGACTAGGAGTGCGCGATAGGCGTGGCCGACTATTGAACCAAGCTGCCTCGATGCTGGAGGCAGGAGGGATGAGGGCGCTGGCCCGGGAGGCGATCCGTCTGCGCACACCTGGCGGCGTCTCTGACCTCGCAGCGCAGAAGCGTGCACAGGGCGCTAACGGCCAATCCCTGCGGCGCTAGAGCGCTTCGAGTCCAAGGGGGCGCTGGAGTGGCGAACTAGCAGGGCTGCGAGCCAATCAGGCGGGCCTCGCACTAAAATCGAGGCACTCGGACACCACACATCTCGTTTGACCCAGCCTGTTCATCTCCAGCCCTTTCGCTCCTCCTGCTCCTCGCACTTCTGCACCGCATCTCTCACCACATCTTCTCAGCCTCGCATCGCAATACCCGTAGTTAATAACTAAAACCACCCGCATCTCTCTCGCACACCGCAGCTGCATCTTGCACCACCGCTACCCGCCGCTTTCCGAGCTATACCCCTTTGTTTCGCCTTTGTTGTGGTCGCCCTGCCTGGCTTACAACACAACCCCTCCCCGCCCAACAGTCATCCCAACCACAACCACCACAAACCACCACCGCCAACATGTCGCAATTCTTCAACTACGGTGCCCAGCAGCACCACCCCCAGCACCTCAACGCCCACACCCACAACCACCACGGCGGCCGATCGCGGAGGGCGCCCCGGATCTCGGCCCAGCAGCACAACAAGCAGTTCCGCCAAGTCCGCACCCCCAAGGAGTTCAACGTCGAGCCCCCCACCCTCATCGCATACAAGCGCGACTTCGAGGCCGCCCGCTCATTCGACATCGAGGACGACGAGATGTTCTGCCCCTTCCACCTGCTCACCGAGGATGATGTAAGTCGCCATTATTTGCCACCCGCCCATGTCGTCGACTCCGCCTGAACCGGCGCTGACACTCGATGAACAGTTGCAATCTATCCACTCGTCCGGCTCAGACCGCTCGTCGCTATCGAGCGGCTCGCCTGAACAGTCGCCGCTTCAGCACCAGCTGCAGCCGACCCCCTCGTTTGTCCTGTCCTCGGCTCCCAACCCGTACACGCCCGTCGGATTCCAACAGAACAACTCGCAAACCAAGCTGCACCAGCCGCTAGCCCAGCGCACACGCAATGCCATTCCCATCGTCGACCCCTCGACACGCGCTGTTGCTAGCCCACCTCCCTCTGTCTCTCCCAACCGACAGATGCAGCAACAGTTCATGTCGCGACGCTGGTAAAGTCTTGCAGGCACGCGGCCGAGCGTCTTTATTCGGTCAACATTGCGGCGTCTGTGTTGCTAGGCTAGTGGCTACCTGGATCTAATCCTCTTCTTCTCGATATCCACCGGCTCTCCCTGTATAAATCACGATATCTTCTTCGACATCTTGGGTATACCACTTGAACGGGGCAACGGCGTTGCAATTATAGCGAAAAACACATCATTTCCGGATAGAGCGCTTTGGTCCTTGCTTTACAAGCGCTAACGCATTAACGGCGGTTTGCACATAACGGTGTTTCTGGGTCTCGCATTTCTGGCTATTCCTATTGGAAAAACTTGTTGGTTACAGAACGGTGTTTCTGTATCTTTGTTGCCCGGCTGCGTCTCGTCGACGTTTGCCATTACAAAGGGTAGATTTCCTATGTGCGGTTGGCTTATCTCTCTCTCTCGGGTTTCAAGCGGTCGGTATATACCATTTGTTGGGCGCCTATCTTGCGAAAGCGACGGTGTCTGAGCGTACATGTTGTGGGAGTCATCAATCGGTGGTGTTATCTTTTGGGTTCCTCTTCGCATTGTCACAAACCACTACTCTTTGTTTGGTAGTAGTTGTTTGTTGTACGGACG